GAGAATGAACCGCAGCTCATAAGTAACGATCAGTGGACCGCAGCCCTATATAATATTTATATACTTGACCGATCGCAACCGGCCAGGTTAACTGCTGGTATGGTTCTCAACCCATCCAACTGCCCGTATAGCCAACTTGATCGCAACCAAATTGGGGAATCATGCATCACATAACATCTTGGAGCACATAGTAGCACATTAGGAAGGGGGAAGTATAAAATAAAGCTTACGTGTGATCATTCACATACTAAGAATCATCCTAAGGGGTTCATACGCCTTCCACCTAGGTCATCGGGTCACCGATTCAACTAGCATGAAAGTCCTAAGATTTACCTAACCTGCGAACGGTACCCGAAATATCAAACTAGACTCAGGCACGACAAACGGGGTCCGTTGGGACGCCACGGGGAATGGGGAACATCAAACGGGGAAGCCGGGGACCCGGGGTGGGTCACAAACCAGCGGGTGGTCGGTGGGTGAGGGGTCACCCGCCGGCTACCCGCCGGAGATCACTGCCCGGCAGCGGGCAGCCGGCCGGCGGACGCCTGCCCGGCGCCTGCCCGCTGCCCGGCGGTGATCTTCGGGCAGCGGGTAGGTGGCGGGTACCCCTACCCCCACCTACTCCCCACTGACTCTTTCATCAATCTTTCGTTCTGGGAACCTTTGTGGAACCCGAAACTATGCTCACACACTTTTAAACGCAATTAACGACACCACGTAGTAAAATAACGGATCAAAAGCAAGTATCACATACGACTCGTCCTATCACGACCTCTAAATACAAACAACACCCGAACATGCGAATTCCCACCCAAATATAAATCAAGAACATCACAATACAAATTCCCAATCCAACCTAGGGCTCTAATCCCCCCCAAATCATCAAGAACATATCTCATCTTTAACATCAAGAAACATCAAGATTCGGCAAGAATCATCATATCAAAATCAAGAACTTCTTTTCAACATAAGATCACCAAGATTATCAAGAAAGCATATAAATCATCTTATCAATCACCAAGATCATAACACAATATCATGGAAGAATTCATCAAGACACGAGAATATAGAGGGAGGCCTAAAAGGGAGATCATAGCTAAGAAAATAGGTTTTGTTGAGACATGGGTTACCTCTTAGCCTTAATTAATTCCTTGGATATGAAGGGTCTTTCTTTAAACTTTCTTCTTTCTTGATTTCTCCTAAGGGAATTCTTGGAACTTCTTGTGTGGTGAGAGATTATTGTGGTGTGGGTTCTAGGTGCCCCCTATGTCCCCTATTTATATACCTAAGAGTCCCAATTAGGGTCTAATACTATAGGCTTGCTAATTCTATTCCCTTTTGGACTTGGGGCTGGGTTTTAGAGGTGAGGGCCCACGGACTATGGTGGGCCTTTTCCTAATTAATTACTGTAATTTAATTCTTTCTTTTGGGTAAATGATTAAATGATTAATTGGTTTTAGGGGTCGTAACACGGGGTGTTACACTCTCCCCCCCTTACAAGAGGCTTCGTCCCCGAAGCCGGCGTGTTAATCCATTCTTTCACCCCTGGACACCCCGTATGTTGGCCTCCTGGTTAGGAACGTGGCCCCATGTGTTGTCCTTGCTGGGGTAGACTGGATTTCTGGTGACGTGGTGATAGGAAAGTTCGGGTCTACCTTGGTTTCCTTCTCCGGAACTGGATGCCCCGCGAGTGCCCAAGATGGTCTCGATTGCTGCCACCCTCTGATCTAAAGTGCGTGTCGCGTGGATTAAGGACGAGAACCCTTCGTCCATGATTTGGTTTTGCCGGGTGAGCTGCCCTAGGATGCGCTCATTGACAGAGTCTTCATTTTGTCCCCTTGGGTTTCCTCCTGTTCGTGCGGGTGCCGGTGGGTTAGGCTCGCTATTCTCTTCCTGATCCTCACTTCCCTCTAGTCCCCCACAATCTTGCATTGCTCGTTTCAGCTTTTTGTTGGCGATGTCCAATCGGTCGACCAATTCTCTTCGCTCCTCATCGGGTTTCATGCAAATCTCTTCGAGGGTGATGTATTGTCCCCCTTCGGTGTAGTAGATATCATTGCGACGGAGGTTTTGAGCGTTAAAAATCATGCCATTTGCGGTCTTGACCTCAGTGCAGCTCAGATCCACCCCCTTTTTCTCCATGATCCAACTTAGGATCATCCCATAGGGTAGGCTGAGCTGGTTGCTAGTTTTGCAAAATTCCATGTGTTTCAACATGAGGGCCGGTAGGTTGAACTTGATTTTGTGTTTTAAGAGATAGGCGAAAGTGCACTCTAAACTCCCCACGTCCTTGCTTTTATTATTTGTGGGCAAAAGGCTGTCAGTCACAATCATAACCAATATCTTTTGCTCCGCAGTTAGCCACTTCCTATTTGATCGCGTGGCCGAGGTGAACCCTTCCTCTTTTCCGAGTAGGTACCCGAGGTAGTCCTTGTACCCCGTATTCTGGGTATCAATCCACCCTTTCCGGTCGTAGTGTGACACACCCGTGGTGGTCAATTTCAAGAGTTTGGCCAAGCGACCTTCGGAAAGTATGATTTCCTTGCCTCGGACCTTGGTGGTGATTTCTAGTTTATCACCTCGTTTGGTGGCTACCAGATGTTGATAGAATTCCTTCACCAATTCGGGGTACGTATCCCCTTTAATGGTGAGGTAAGTATCCACTACTCAGTTCCGGAGAGAATTGATCGGGTTCGAGGGCTTTACCTCCGATTACGGTATAGTCGGCGTTGCTCCATTCCGGGGTACGGGTCCCGAGGGGCTTTTTTCGGCATTTTGGGTAGGTGGTATTTTTCCGGCGAACTTCCGGCGAGGCTCCGGCGTGACTCCGGCGAGTTTCCGGTGGCGTGGTTCTCTCGACGGCAAGGAGGGTGGCGGCGTGTTCGGCTCTGGCGACGGCTTGGCCAGGGGGGGGGGGGGGGTTGGCTTTTGGACGGAACTGGGCAGTGGTGGTGTGTGTGGCAGCGGGGGGCGCTCAGGCGTGTGGCGGGCGGTGGTGGCGTCGCGGGTTGCTTCCGGGCGGCGACGACGGCGTGCGGTGGGGCGCCGCCTGGGTGATCGGCGGTGGCGCGGCTGTTGGCGGCGACTGGTTGGGGGCTGTTGGTCTGGCGTTGGGGAGGCGGGGAGGTGAGAGGGAGAGGAGATGTGAGGGAGAGGGAGTGTGGAAGAAGAAGAAGAAGGGTTTTTGATTTGGGGATTTTATGGGTTTTAGGGACTTGTAGGGGTTTAAGAAGGGAGTGTTCCCTTGAGGTTTTAAGAAGCACCCTTAGCCTAGTGGTTAAGGTCTTGGTTTTGTATGTGGGAGGTCAAGGGTTCAAATCCCATTGGTGACATAGGCTTCTTGATGGTGTGATCTTTGTCTTTTTCCTTCTTTTGTCTTCTAGTGATAGGTGACTTGGTTTGTTTTCCTTTTGTTGTTTGACATGTATAATTTAGTCCCTCCCCCGCATACAGAATTGAATTTTGATTTAGTCCTTTATTTATAATAATTCCGAAGTAGTTAATCTAAGTAAGTAGTTCCACTACGAAGGTGGTTACAAGGGATTTGCAGGTTATCCTAGACAGAATTCGTCTTCTTGGTTTTCTCCCGGTGGGTTTGCGTGGTCCTCGTCTTCTGGGGTTAGGTTTTCTTCGTTGGGGTTGTCCTCGTCTCCTAGTTCGGCTTGCGTGTGGCTCATGATGAATACCTTTCCAGGAACACCATGATTCCCTTGGTTATGGGTGCCTCTGTTTTGCCCCATATTCGTGGGGTGTGAGTTTGAAGATTGTGGACACTGGAAGGACTTGTGTCCGTCCTTCCCGCAGTTGAAGCACCGTAAGGGGTTTCCCGTGCAGTCTCTGCCCCTGTAATTTTGCATTTTCTCATTTTACGTAAAATATCAGAATACTGATTGATTCAATTAAGCACCTACTTAGTAATGATAGATCATGAAGAGAACATCAGAGAAAAATAAACAAACACACAGAACGAACACTCACAATGTTTACCCAGTTCGATACGGTGTGTATCTACGTCTGGGGACGATCACATAGGCGTCCAATCCACTAAGTCATAATCCAATGTACAAAGGTAGATATACAATAATCTTACCCAAGTGTCCCACACAAGGTACATACCCAGTCTACACAGGTTTAGTGGATTGTTGAAGATGGAGAGCCATGCATACAGAAGTCCAATGAAATCCCTTCACTTGGAGAGCCAGCTCTGATGCAGTCCACTTCAGTGATGCTCTATAAGGTTGTTCCCACAACAGTGTGATCTTAGTGTCCTTTCGTTTAAGCAGCAGTAACTCTTCTCAAGTTCATCATCTTAATCACCGTGAACATGATGTATTGAGAAGGTGCATAACCATCAAAGATCTAGACTCATCAAGCTGATATGGAGTGTTTCTTCATCTTATTTGGCGTAACCCTAGTTCCCTTAAAGAACTGATACTTATAGATCCTTCAATAAACACTCTCCATAAAACGTCTTTGATTGTAGAAGGTAGGACTATATAAGAGGAATGTAATCTCAGCAGATTAGGTCCATTACCTTCTTTGAAGATACGCTGATCGTCTTTCCATACTGGGCTGATAATACCGCGTAAGACTCTTAAGGAAACAGCTTTCCTAAATCAGATCTTCAGTGTCAGTTCTTCTGTCATTGCTTCTGCTTGATCAGAAAACTGTAAACCCAACCGGACAGACTCTAAACCTATCTTAGTATGCCATAATAATATTGCCAATTATAATATGGGGTTTTTGAACATAAAAACACTAACAAACTCCCCCATTGGCTATTATTTGGCAAAACAACTCAACTATATAAAAAGAACTAAGATAGGTTATTAAAAGAAGCAACCCAAGTGTCCAAACTGATTACATAGGATAAAAAGAACATAAGATCCAAAAAAAAAAACGACATCAAAACATAACGCCCAGCCAGGGCCAGAAAGTACTCGATCACAAAAACTCCCCCTGAGTTACTACTCCCCCTTTTTGCCAATGGTAGCCAAAGATCAAGCATTTGAGGGAGAGTCACAGTCAGACTTCACGGGATCCTCAGCAGCAGCAGCAGTATCAGACAGGCTCATGCGGAGAAGAACAGTAGCTAGCTCAGTGCGCGCACCCGTTAGTTGCTTGGCAATGATACCGTGCACCGTCTCAAGATCAGCAACTCGCGCCTTCAATTGTTCGGAAAACATCACATCTTTAGCATGAGGAGACTCATCATTCACAGCATCAGGTTCTGAATTGGATGGGGCAGTCACAGGAACGACATCCTTAATATGATCTCCAGAAAGAAGACGTTTATCAATAGTATATAGCAGCGTCGGACAGATCACTTCGCTGGGCATAGGCTTAAGACCCTGAGAGGTAAGGATGCCAAAAATCAGATTTGGAAACGGTAGTCTTACCTTCTGTTCCCGGGGATGAATCAGAGTTAGAACATGATAAAAAATCCATTTGCCCAGATCACATTGCATCTTAGTTCCAATTCTAAATAAGAACCCTGCCAGAAGCTTGCCAACTGTGTTGAAATGAGCTGATGGAAGCCAGTTGTGCAGAGCCAGGCGATGTAGGATGACATATCTAGACGTGAGATCCGAGCTCAGCAAATAGTCCTTATCTCCTGTAGGCCAAGATGTAGTATGTCCACCGGTAAGAGTTTTGGCCACCACGTCCCATTCAGTAACAGTTTCTTCTTGCACTGTAGGCAAGCCATAGTATTTATTTATCACATCTGGCCCAAAAACATACAACGTCCCTCTGATGAAGATTTGCATCGGTCGTGGCCCTGTGAGACTGTCAATCTCATCACTGAGATTGCAATAGAACTCATATGTGAGCAGCTGGGAGTAAGGGCAAACATCTGTAACAGTTTTCAAAAGACCAACTTCATTCAGCAAGGGCAGGATGTCGCAAACGGAGTTCAGTTGATTCTCATCCACAGTTCTTTGAACAATCAGCTCCCTTCTGACCATAGTGGCCCATTTTGTTTGTGCAGCAAGGGATACAAACTGAGGTTTGTAAACAATAGTATCAATTCCTTCAATAGGTGGAACTTCCGGAGTTACACTTCGACCTCTTGACCTTGTGGTAGGTTTCCCTTTTCTGGCAGAGGGGGCTAGTGCAGAAGTAGCTTGAGCAGCAGTAGGTCCTTGTTGCTTAACAGAGGAACGTAGAATCTTGAAAACTTGGTGGATAGGTGGGTCTCCTTCAGGCTTAGCAGTCTCACTCGATTTTATCTTCTTCACAGGCTGATCCACATCAACAGTATCAGCACTGGTTTCAACAACAACCTTCGTTGGAACATTCTTCCTTTTTGTCCGTCTTGTTTCTCTGGATGGGGACTGGACTGGAATCACAGAGTCGCTAGAATCAGAAACATTTGCAGATGAGCTCCCAACAATATTTGATATCTCTCGAATTCTGAAATTCGTGGAATCAGGATGAGCAGTTGCCTCAACAGTAGGGGCAGCAGAATAAGGTGCTTGGGGTCCATACACCTCAGCCAGTATCTTATCATCTTCACTGGAGGATTCTGAAGGGTGTATCACTCAATAAGGTTGAGGGATCGAAGCAGATGGTAACCCAGCAAAATGTCGCACATGTTCCAGGCTTTCTCCTAAAGATGTTGCAGTGTAGACAGGAACTCCACCTGTTTTCTCAGACTTGTGGGGACTGTATAAATCAACAGTCTTAACAGTTGCAGGTAAGGCAGGAGGATCAACAGCAGGACAAGACTCTTTAGAGACATTAACAGTTTCAGACGGAGGCAGAGCAATATTCTCAGAAGCATAAACAACCAGACTCAGTGGATTTGGCTCATCAGAGGACTTTGTTTTCTCATCAGACACATGCAACGCATCAGATTTTTCACCAGCAAAATTAGTCACAGGCAAAGATAGAGGATCAACATTCACAGGGGACTTCTCGGAACCCAAAGCAGATTGTTTTTTAGGCAAAATAGACACAGACAATGGAATAGAAGAATCAACAGGTCTATCAGGAGAAATTTCAATAGGGGTTTCAGAATCATTTACCCGTTGTCGAAGAATCTCCTGTCTGTGTGTTGCTTCTCTTTGAGCAACTTCAAGATACAGAGCTTGGGACTCATCTCGTCGTCGAGCTTCTTCAACAGATTCTAGGGCACGTTGAGCAAAAAATTGAAAGAATTCCCCCGCCCGATTTCCATCCGAGGGTTCTGGAATAAACACTGGAGAGACGTCATCACTGGCTTCGGCGACCAACACAAGAAGTTCAGTTACATCATCTGCCGACCATTCAGCATAAAACTCCGGATAGTTGGTCATAACAGTCACCAGAATCTCGTCGCGAAGCAGAGGATCAAGCTTGAGCTTCTTCTTCATAGCCAACTGTAGAAGCGTTTGAATGTGTTTGAGGGCTGCCGCCGGAGGGTGTACCTTGCTTCCAAGCTTAATGATGATGTTTGTTACGGGGTCCGCCATTTAAGATTAAGTGCGAGGAGAAGACTAAAACACCAAGAGTAGATAAGCACGGGAAATGGAGAGATGAGAGCTGAGGTGAGTTCTTTCTTCTTGACCCGGTATCATATAGGCTTAAGGGTGATGAACCCTAATTAATGCGGCAAGCCAAAATATCATGCAGAAGTGATTGAAGGACACAACGGTACAGCTCCTTTTTAGGAAGGAAACGGAACCCAAGGGAATTTGAAATTCAAAAAGCATTGAGATCTTTTAAGATATCTTCTGAGAAGAATAAGCTTAGATGATCTTCTTAACATAAAAAGAGAGGAGTCTTTAAGGAAATTCAAAGTCATAACACTGACCCGTAATAAACCAACTCCTCTCTGATGGACCAACTGCTTTAGTCAGTCAATTCTGCAAATTCCCAGAGCAGATTTGAGAATTTGAAAACGATTAGCATCCAGTGGCTTAGTCAGAATGTCCACCAATTGTTTGTCAGTCTGAATGTATTCCAACTCAATTTCCTTGGATTCAACCAGGTCTCTGATGTAGTGATGCCTGATGTCAATATGCTTCGTTCTGGAATGTTGAACAGGATTCTTGGAGATGTTAATAGCACTGACATTGTCACAAAAGAGTGTCATTGTTCCTTGTGTAAGACCATAATCCAGAAACATCTGTTTCATCCAATCCAACTGAGTACAGCAACCACCTGCGGCTACGTATTCTGCCTCTGCAGTGCTTAGTGAGATAGAGTTCTATTTCTTACTTAACCATGATACTAAGTTCTTCCCAACAAAGAAGCATCCTCCAGAAGTACTTTTCCGATCATCAATATTCCCTGCCCAATCAGCATCACAATATGCAACCAGATTCAGTTCACTATCCTTGGAATACCACAGTCCATACTGTATCGTTCCTTTCACGTATTTCAGAATGCGTTTTGCCGCTATCAGATGTGATTCCTTTGGGTCAGATTGATACCTTGCACAGATTCCAACACTGAACATTATGTCTGGTCGACTGGCTGTTAGATACAACAGACTGCCTATCAAGCTACGATAGACTGTGTTATCCACTGATATACTAGTTTCATCTTTCGATACTTTAGTAGAAGTGGAGATCGGTGTTCTGGATGGTTTACATGATTCCAGATCAAACTTTTTTACAAGATTCTTAGCATACTTTTCTTGTGAAATAAAGTATTCTTCAGAACTTTGCTTGACTTGTAGACCTAGGAAATATGTCAGTTGACCAACCATGGACATTTCAAACTCTTCCTCCATGACTTTTACCAACTCATCAGTGTATTTCTGCAAGGTTGATCCAAACACAATGTCATCAACATAGATTTGAGCTATGGTTAAATGACTTCCAGTCGTTTTGACAAACAGAGTTTTGTCAACACTTCCGCGTTTATATCCGTGTTGGAGCAAATACTGTGTCAGACGTTCATACCAGGCCCGTGGGGCTTGTTTAAGGCCATAGAGAGCTTTTCGAAGCTTATAGACATAAGAAGGACGTTCTGGATCTTCAAAACCTTTAGGTTGAGCCACAGAGATATCTTCATGGAGATACCCATTCAGAAACGCTGTCTTGACATCCATCTGATATAATGTAAATCCCAAAATGCAAGCGACAGCCAGCAAGATTCTGATTGACTCAAGTCTAGCTACAGGAGCAAATGTCTCGTCATAGTCAACCCCTTCAATCTGTGTATAACCTTGAGCCACCAACCGAGCTTTGTTTCTGGCTATATTCCCTGCTTCATCAGTTTTATTTTTAAAGATCCACTTCGTTCCTATTACGTTGACACCATCAGGTCTTGGTACAAGATTCCAGACATGATTCCGCTCAAACTGATGTAGCTCCTCCTGCATTGCATTGATCCACAGATCATCCTGTAGAGCTTCTTTGACATTTTTGGGTTCTATCTTTGAGGTATAGCAGTAAAACCCAGATATTTCTGTCAGATTATTTCTTATTCTGCTTCTGGTTTTCATTCCATCTGAAAGATCTCCAATAATGTTATATGATGGATGGTTTTTCTGAGTTCTGGTGGGTTTGTCTTTACCAACATCATTCATGAGATCTATCTCTTGTTCCGAACTTTCTTGATCTTCATCTGACGAATCTTGTGGTTTGAGCTGAGTGTTGTTATTACATGCATCTGAATCACGTAGAGGTGACTCTATCACTGTTGAGTCCACTGGTTCTTCTGGATTGTCATCGACAACCACGTTTACTAACTCCATCACAGACTGAGTCCTCTTGTTGTAGACTTTGTAGGCACGACTGTTCGGAGAGTATCCAAGAAAGATGCTCTCATCACTTTTAGGTTCGAACTTCCCTCTTTGTTCTCTGTCAGCCAGCACATAGCACTTTGTCCCAAACACATGAAAGTATTTCAGATTTGGCTTCTTTCCCTTCCAGATCTCATATGAAGTTTTCGTCGTTCCTGGTCTAAGGTAGACCCTATTTATAGTATGACACGCTGTGTGTACTGCTTCAGCCCAGAAACGTTGTGGCATATGTGAGGCATGTAGCATAACTCTAGCCATTTCCTGTAGCGTTCGGTTCTTTGTTTCCACCACTCTCTTCTGTTGAGCAGTTCTAGGAGCTGAGAACTCATGTGAGATACCATGCTCCGAGCAGAAGTCTGAATATAGTGAGTTCTCAAATTCCATTCCATGATCACTCCTCAATCTCTGAACTTTTATAATATACTCATCTTTTTTCCTTCTTAACTCTTATGCACAGAGTCTTGAAGGCCTTGAAGGCTTCTGTCTTTTCTCTCAGAAAGTAAACCCAGCTGTATCGAGAGAAATCGTCTACACACACAAATATATATTTCTTTCCTCCAATGCTTTCAGTCTGTGTTGGCCCCATGAGATCTATATGGACAAGATCTAGACATTTCTCAGTGGTGATACCTCTTACTGCTTTGTGTGGAGTTCTGATTTATTTCCCAATAGCACATGCGCCACAAATTTTCTCTGGATCAATTCTGATCTTCGGTACACCTTTTACTGCTTCCAGTTTTATCAACTTATCCATATCTCTGAAATTTATGTGACCCAGTCTTCTATGCCAGAGTTTTGATTCATCAAATTTGGATAGGTGACAAGCAGTTTCATTTGTCAAAACATAACAGTTGTGTGAAGACCGAGTTCCTTCCATGACAAGTTGATTTGCTTTGTCACTCACTCTGCAGCAGTTACGATCGAAGCATACATTCCAATTTTTATCACATAACTGATTGATGCTAATAAGATTCGCTTTTAATCCACTGACTAGCAAGACTTCTTCTAATTGAGGTAAACCTGGAACATTTAGGACACCTTTCTCAACGATTTTACCCTTTTGTCCATCTCCAAATGTTACAGCTCCACTGCTAGGTTGAACAGCCATCAGACATTTAATATTTCCTGTCATATTTCTAGAACAACCACTGTCGAAATACCATCTAGCATCAGTTGTAGATGCAGTTAGAACAAGGGTGGGATAACAGATAACTTCTGACTTTCTGACCCAAACCTGTCTAGTGAATGGTGTAATAGTCTTATTCTGATACTTTTCCTTCCTTTGATCTCTGTAGAAAAAATAGCATTCGGGACGAGTATGACCTTTTGTGTGACAGTAGTGACAAATGGGAGTATAATATTTAACTTTGACAATCTTATTTTTGAATCTCGAATAATGAGATTGATAAGTTGATTTGTCCTGGTCAGTGTTAGTACCGTATATCCTTTCCTTGATTTGTACTGACTGAGATGACTGTCCTTGTTCATACATGTGATATGCTGTGGTCTTAGACTGTCCCTCTTTGAGGAACTTTGGTGCGTTGTTCGAAGATTCTCCTTGCTCAAATCCCAGACCCTTTTTATCATTAGGGTTTCTGCCAGAGTCTAGAATTTTATCTAAGGTAGATGTGGTGTCCATCATCTGTATATTTTTCTTCAAGCTCTCCAACTCCTTGATTAATTTACCTTCTCTGGACCGTATCTGAGTGATGAGATCTTCTTTTATGACCAGTTCAGCATTCAGTTTCTTTATAAGATCATCTTTTTGCTTTAGATCGTCATTCAGATTCTTATTTACTTTCACAAGTTGTTCCCAGCTAGCGACAAGTTTTGCAAATTCTGCCTCAAGTTGAATATGTCTCTCTTCAAAATCATCTGTTGGTATGTATGATTCTCCATCTGATTGATCTCCGTCTGATTGAATGTTTGTGGCAGTGAAGAACGCTACAAAGTTTCCTACATTATCATCTGATTGATCATTTGAATTTTCCTCCTCATCATCACTAAGAGTAGCTACAGACATAGCCTTTTTCCTTTTAAGATATGTTGCACATTCAGCCTGTATGTGACCGTATCCTTCACATTCCCTACACTGCACTGACCGATTGAGGGGTTTTCCTGTGTCTGTGGCACTATTTCTGTTTTGTCTTGATCGCCCAGTCTGAGATTGATTGTTCTGTGAGAAGGGTGTTGTTTCAACCTTTTGATATGAAGGGTTGTTGCCTTTGTATTGTGTTCTTGTAGACTGACCTTGACCCTTTCTGTTGAACCCTTTTAAGTTTTTCTTGAAGTTTTTGGTTAGGAGAGCTAGGGTTTCATCATCTATGTCGTCTGTGTCAGATTCTCGATCAGATTCAGCCACAAAGGCAACAGACTTTCCTTTCTTGTTGCTTCCAACATCATCATTAGCAAGAACTTCCAGTTCATATGTGTGCAAGCTTCTCATGAGTTCTCCGACAATCTTCTTTTCCCAACCTGTGTGTTCCTGAATAGCCGTTACTTTCATTCGAAAACGTTTAGGTAGGGATCTGAGAATCTTTTTGACCACTCTCTCATCAGTGAATGGTTCCCCAAGAATTGAGGCTCGGTTCATCAAGTTCTGAACCCTATTGTGGAAGGTAGAAATGGTTTCGTCTTCAGTCATTCTGAGAGCTTCGAACTCTGACAGAACCATTTGCAACTTTGACTGTTTGACATCACTGGTTCCTTCAAATCTGG